CTCCTCTCTCTTACTTTCTCAAATCTGCCATTGTCTCAAGCTCGCAAGCTCTGTGATCGTTTCCAGTCTTCCCCTTTGGCGAAGTTTTCACCGCTCTGTCGTTTTACTGTTGTCGTTTGACTTCAGCGAACTCAACGCCGGCTTCATTTTTCTTTGGTGAGTTATTTATTCCTCATTTATCAGTCTGTGCTTCTTTTCAAAAAGCTTTACTTTTTTATTCGTTGCCATTGCTGTTTTGCTCAAGTTCTTGATTTATGAATCACATATCTGAGCACGTTCATTTTACGATTTTGCTTTTTCCCAATTCATGTCTCGAATACACACACTGCTCACAAATTTGTTCACTTTTGCCACTGTTCTTGGCCTCGCACCCTTTGTGCACACTTTGTCACAGTGTTCTTGATAGTTCATCACTGTTCTTGATTCTAAAACACGTTATTGTTTTCTATTTTCTGTGTCTTTTTCAGATTCGTGCATTCAATCTTCATTTCCATAGATCTAGGTTTGGGATTTGCTTGTAGAACCCACAAATTTTAGGAAAAACTGAAACTAATTCCCCATAAAATCCCCACAAATTCTTACCCCAGCTCACATTAAGGTTTTAGCCGAGGTCCTTCAAAACCGTCTAAAAACACTTCCTTCTGAAATCCAATACTCTCCCCCTAAGCCGATATCATTGGTATGTGGAAGCATAGGGTAGATACCCCAACCAAGTTGGAATATTTCAAGCGAGAGTTTTCCATCTCAGCCGACGTCCATCTGAGGTTGGCTGGGGAGGATGACTCCATCATGCCCACAATCGATTCTATGCCCTTCCCCGTTGTAGCTTTCATAGAGTGCGGACTTAGGCTCCCACTCAACATCCTTTTCCAAGAAATCCTTCATTACTATAAATTAAACCCAATGCAGGTTGCCATAAACTCTTATCGAGTTATAAACGGTATAATAGCCTTAGCCAAACAAGAGAATGCTAGGGTAACTTTAGCCGATAGCCAGTATTGCTACACCACGTGTGGCCTTAAATTAGAAAAAGGCTACATTTACTACCTTAAGCCGAGGTCTACAGAATACAAAATTGTTGCCGACCTCCCAGACTCCAACAAGAGAGCCGGAGACGATTACTTCATTGTCTCGGGGAACTAGGAGTTCGCTCCAAATAATGACCTCCACCTCTACCCTCTTAGCCGAACACTTTTCGTTGAGAGTAATGGTAAGAGCCCAGTGTCAATACTTGTTTCTCAAAGTCTTTAATACTTTGTTTTTTATACGTTCTAACGTTTGTTTTCTTTGCAGCTCTTCCCCAACCGGCAAAGGATTTCCGCAAGTCCTTTTTCCTGAGCAAAGGCCTGAAAAAGTTGTTAGACCTTTCAGTTCACAAGCGGAAAGCCCCCTACTACTCAACTTCATTCCCACTTACAAGTCGGTTCTTCCTGACGTTCCAAAGAAGAAGAAGAGTCAGCCTCCTCCATCCGCCACTACTCCTCCAACAACTTCATCATCTCGGCCAGATCAGGGATCAACCTCTGATCCAGCAAAGCAACCGTCAACCTCGGCTCCATATCTGATCCCACCATCTCAGTGCCAACGCTGCCGTAGGACTGCGATTGTCACCGAGATGGGTCGCAAGAAAGCTATCGCTGAAGATCTTCTAGCAACATCCCTGACTCAGTTAACGCTTAACCAGCACAAACCCAGCCACAACCAAAGCAAAAGCCAAAAAGACTCAAGAAGCCTCAGCATAAGGCAACGGTGACTCAGATTGATACTGAGGACACCTTGCCAATTTCAAAATTGGCTGAGAGTGAGAAGACCCCTTCTGCTATCGAGAAGAGGCCCGCCGAGGCCCAACCATCCGAATCCACTAAATCAAAGAGGCCGAGGTCGTCTTCTGCGACCACCTCGGGGCTATTGAAACATGATTCCCCCTAGGCCCCGCCAATCACAATCGACGACAAGCCAGTTAAGGCTGGTGATAGCGCCAACAACATTGAGGTCGGCGTTGCCCTCTACACTGCCTTGTTTATGCCTGAAGATCTTAATCGTAACGCTAAGATGAGGGAATATGAAAATTTTGCTCTGATGCTGCAACATTCCGTTGAAGTAAGTTCTTTACACTTGGTATTTTTCTTTCTATATTTAGAGAATTTTCTAATAACTTCTGCTCTATCCATTTTCCTTCAGGCGATCCAGCATGCCCACTCCTTTTCAATGCAATCTTTTGAGATGAGGAAGGAGTTGGCCGACAAGATTAGGGAGGTCTCTGGTTTGCAGAAGACCCTTAAAAAGACCGAGGGAAAGATGAAGACCTTGTCAGATCAGGCCGAGGCAGCCATCAAGGCTAAAGATAAGGTCGAAGAGAAAGCTGTTGCTACCGAGGCCATTGCCAAGGTCCTCGCGGCTGAAAAGCAAGAGGCCAAGACAAAGATGGCCAAGGCCCAAAAAGAACTACAAGATGCCTTGGCTACAAAATCTGCCGAGATCAAGGCCACAAATGAAAAGGCATACAATGAAAGGGTGGCCGATGTTACGGCAGACTACAAAAAACAAGTGAAGCAGGCATGCAACAAGGGTTTTACCCTTGGTCGGATGGCTGCTCTAAAAAAGCTTGACGTCCCCGAGGACTCCCCCTTTAAGAATGCCGACGTCCTCCCCCTGCCATTCCCCCCTACTCCAAGCCAATCTGAAGACGATTCTGAGTCTGAGGAGGAAGCTTTGGTGAGGAAATCAAAGGAAGCTGCTGGGCCAAGTCCCCTACTCCATGTGAGCAAGTCCTAGACTTGACTCAAGATGAGGAATGCGAGGTCTCAAAAGACGCTCCTCCTGAAAAGGCAACATCGGACGCGCCTATTGCCGACAGGAGCTTCGACCAAACTCTTCAAGAAATTGATGCCAAGCTCGCGGCTGAGAGAACCGCCGAGATGTCTTCTCAGCTGTCTTCTGAACTCCAGACCTAACCAGCCATAGTGAACTCCAGACCTAACCAGCCATAGACGCCGAAGAGTCTTACTTTTTTGCTTTGTTCTTTAGTACTTTGTCTTACTTTTTGAATAAATGTAAGCTTGGATCTGGCCAAAGTGCCACTTTTGTAATTTTTGAACAACTACTCTTTTGGAAGGCCAAAGTGCCCTCTTATTTTTGAACTGTTTCTTCTGAATGCAAGTACAATTTCCTTTGTATGACTCTTGTACGATTCTGTACTTAGAATAATTTTGCATGCTTTCAAGCATACACCATATCTGTGTAATTTCCTTGGGGTGATATACCTCGGTTATACAAACCAATGGTTTACCTCGGCAAGTACATAAGTACTTCTTTTAATACAACCTTGGTCTTAACTTGTAAATTTCGACAAGTATTTAAACCAATCTTTCTTTGACATAACCTCGGTTTCAACTTTGTAAATTTAAAGTTTCAACAAATGTTAAACATGCCCATAGTTTAACTTCAAATTGTAAACTCGAGTTTTAACAAGTGTTAAACATGACCTCGGTTTAACTTCAACTTGTAAACAAATTAGAAAAATGGACCTTATGGAATAAAAATCAAGGAGTATCAAGGCCAGAGATTCTTAATCTTCCCAATACACGACAACTTTCACTGGACAATTGTTGTGTACGACGTGAAAGAGAATGTATGGAGGCATTATAACTCACTGCGCCCAAGAGAAGGCATACATGACCCACATATTGACAAAGCACAAATACTGGTAAGTGGCTGACAAAAATAATACTTGTCGTGATGTGTAATATTTGAACTTGGACGTATGCCCTATGTTGGTTGGTTCCTAATATGAAATTTCATTGTTGGCAGAGGGACTACATCACAGCTTTGGTGCACAACATTGGACTGTCATCACCATTATGGACCAATTTATCAAGCCAAAATACTTCGAAAACAATCGTATCAGTGGACATCTGTCCTCAGCAAGCATCAAATTCCTAAGCATAAAATCTATTTCTACACATGTTCCACAACCTTTACCCACCTAAATTTCAAAATCTAACAAGATGTTTGCATTTTCAGGGTGGATTGCGGGCCTGCAGTTTGTTACATCATGAGGGCGCATGTATATCGTGAAGACATTGTTGCCAGCCTAGATCGCTTTGAATGGTGTCAAATAAGAGACTCATTAGTACACCTTTTTCTGAACCACAGAAAGACAGTGCAATGTGAAAACCTATAGGTGGGAGGTGTCCACCTATCACTGTTACCCAAATCTGTTATCCACATTTAAGACAATTTAGTTTCACTAGCTTAATTGTAAATCAAGTCTATATCACTGCTTGTACAAATACTTTTCAGTCAATATATGTATATGCATTTTCAGGCCTATTTTGCGTTGGTCATGCACATTGAGATTGTATTTTCTTTTTTCTTTTTTTTGGATACACATGACATGATGTCAATGTTCACATCACAGAATGATCGTACACTTTCTTCTATTTTAAACCATACTACATGGATGTGAATATTGCTTAAAGTGTTCATGTAACACAATATGACAGGTGTGATTATGATATTTCTTAACACAAGTCAATATTCACATCTAACAATTTGATGATGTGAATATTCACATCATAACTTCTGATTATGCGAATGGCAACAATGATGTCATGAATATTCACATCTTATGAGTTGATGATGCAAATGGTTACATTGATGTAAACATTGTTGTTAACAGTAACAACAATGTGAACATTCCCACCACAGAAAATGTTTGAAAGTTGAACAATGTGAACATCCACATAATGTGATTATATTACATAAGTGTGAATGTTAACAGCATGCATTCATCCAAAACACAACCAACATAAATCTCAGATTGGTACCTTAAAAAAGTAAAAATAAAACACAAATCAAACACTAATGCATTATTATGTTTGCCAACGCAACGTAATCTTATTGCAACCCAATGTTTCCCAACACAACACAATCTTATTTCAAAAATGAATGTAAGAATCCAATGTAAAATACAATGTTGAAATGAAAAAAGGTACATCTTATATCGGCTCCGTGCATGATTTTCGATTATGGCTCTCCAACTTATCACATCTCCCGCACCTTATTTGCTTCAGTTTCTCACCCCTTGATGGGATCCTATTCTTCTTTGGCCTTCCGGGTGGTCTTTTCACGGTAGGCGGGTATATAGTAAAGTCCGTGGGATCAAAAGGCGGCTTCTCCACCGATGGTATAGGGAATATGGCTCCCGAATAGGCTGCACGATATGTCTCTACATGAAAGTAATGTTCTACACAATCATTGAGATTGTAGTGGCTCTTCTGAATGGCAATAACAACATGGTCACACGGGAATCCGTTGATTTGCCATTTGAAGCATGAACATGTACGCCTCGCAACATCAACTGTAACCGATGGTATCGAATGAACTTCAAACACATCCTCGTTGGCTTTGCTAACTTGCCAAGACTTGCTGTCATTGAACGAATCCATAAGCCTTGTTTCGAATGTCGGACAAATAATCTCATTCCATTTGTTTGCTTGGTCACGCCGTGCAGACATTTGCCGCATCAACTGAGTACGAATTTTGTCCACCATTTGAGTGATAGGAAGATTACGTGCTTCTTTAATCCAGTTATTAAATGACTCCGCCGCATTGGATGTCATCTCCCCATATCGCATGCCCCTGCACAGTATATCACAAACATTGTACAATACGGAATTTAACAGGCCTGACCATTAATGTTGACAAATGTGAACGTTCACAGTACTGCCATTAGTATACACCGATGTGAACATTCACATTAGGGTATAATAATGTGAATGTTCACATCTGCTACCAGGTTTTAATAATATGAATGTTCACATTATATGCTTATTACGTTGTCAACTTAAATGATAGACAGATGTGAATGTTAACAACAACAACAAAATATGACACGTGTCAACATTCAAATCTGTAATACATTGCATGACTATTTGACAAATTAACAGATGTGAACATGACATCAGTCATCATTAGCAGATGTGAACATTCACATCATTTACATTGAAGATGAAACACAATTCGAAGATTGTCACCATTATAAACTGAAAATTCACATCACTACCATTCTAAACTTCAAAAATGGAACACCTTAGGAAACTATTATTACCTGAAGTATGAATTTGCCCAGTGCTCAGGTGCCAAGTCCTTGAAAAAATTATGAGCTCGTTGTTTACCCTCCTCTTTTAATTTTGCAAGCTTTTCATGGAACCCTACCACAGTTGGCTCGTAGGCACAGTCACCCAAACTCCTTACTAGGTGATCCCTGAATCCATTATCAATTCCTTTCATCCGGTCTCTTAAATTGCTCTTCAAGTGTTGTAAGCAATAACCGTGATGAGCCGATGGGAACACCTTCGGCATAGCTTCTAACAAGCCAAGATTACGATCCGAAATAAAAGTAATATGGCGCTTCCCATCAACAACCTACCCAAGTTCATGCAAGAACCACGACCAATTAGCCGTGGTCTCCGAATCAACAATTGCAAATGCAACAGGAAACAGACCTACAACACAACACCAATACACAACTGTTCACAATATTCCAAAGTGAATAGAAAAACAGTATAAACGAAACAGGTCATGTGAATGTTCATATGTACATTGCCCTCTTTACTATTGCTGTTTTTGGATTCAGGTTCGTAAACATCAACGATGTGAACATTCACATTAACGACCATTAATAATTCATTGTTGCTTGTTGAGTCACTGAAAATGTTAACATTCACAGTACTGTTCATTAATAGATCAACTAACATTAGTATACACTGATGTCAACATTCACATAAGTCTGTAATAAGTCTGATGTGAACATTCACATCAGTCTGATGTTAACATTTCTGTCATTAGCATACAAAGATGTGAACATTCACATCAGTGCATACTAATGTCACTGAAGTGAATGTTCACATTACTTATAATTTAGCAATCACTCTTTCGTCCAGACTATGCTGCTCAGAGCGAATATTGACATGAATAGACAGGTAAAAAAAACTTCTAACCATTGTTCCCGTCTTTCGCCGTTGCCGCAAGTAGCTGACCTTTGTACTTTCCTTTGAGGAATGTTCCATCCAGGAATAATAAAGGCCGACAAGCATTGAACCCAGAAATACACGCAGCGAATGACACAAAGAAGCGACAAAACTGTTGACTACTCGCATCATAGTCAATATTGACATAACTCCCCGGATTGTACCGCATCACAGCATCCGAATACCACCGCAACTGGTCAAACGATAACGAGTGATCTCCATGGATACCAGCCTTTGCTTTCTCCACACCCAACCATACGACATGGTAACTCACATCTAGCCCATAATCCCTCTTCAAAATAGTCACCACTTCACACGCCCGAGTCAACGGCTTGTCCCTCATAATTTCAAATATGGTACTCGACACCAAATCCGAACTAACTCGCGGATTCTTCGATGTTCGAACATCCGTACCACAAGTATGCACATCACTAAACCTCTTGATGTAGAAAAAATCATTTGCTCGTTGTGCTCTACAATGTATAGCCCACAAACACCCCCTCTCCTCCCGCATCGCACACACAGCAGTAACTCTTGTTGTCTCGTTCTTCACGTATGTGAACTTAAACCCACATTGGATGGCATACTTACATAAAACGTCACGAAATTCTTGTGCACCTCCAACAAACCGTTGTCCTACATGCGTAATACCATTTGCCCAAGGGGCTGACAACAACACCTTCTCCTTATGGTGGCAAAATCTCCGTAGTGCATCAATTTCATCCTCAACCCCCACACGCAGCAATCCCAAACTACTTGACTGACCAATATCACCCTTCAACTCAACCACAACTTCTACATGTTGTACCCCCATTGATTTAGCAAGCAGTACCATGTTCTGAAATTCTTCCTCATTGTCCAAATGACACTTATTAATCCCAGGTAGTTTACAGAACAATGAAATAGAACCAGCAGACAACTCATCCCATTTCTCACACAAACACTCCACCAAACGAGAATAACACATTGCGCGGGCAACATTTATTACAGTTGTACTACAACCATATGTAAAGATGAAACACAATTCGAAGATTGTCACCATTATAAACTGAAAATTCACATCACTACCATTCTAAACTTCAAAAATGGAACACCTTAGGAAACTATTATTACCTGAAGTATGAATTTGCCCAGTGCTCAGGTGCTAAGTCCTTGAAAAAATTATGAGCTCGTTGTTTACCCTCCTCTTTTAATTTTGCAAGCTTTTCATGGAACCCCACCACAGTTGGCTCGTAGGCACAGTCACCCAAACTCCTTACTAGGTGATCCCTGAATCCATTATCAATTCCTTTCATCCGGTCTCTTAAATTGCTCTTCAAGTGTTGTAAGCAATAACCGTGATGAGCCGATGGGAACACCTTTGGCATAGCTTCTAACAGACCAAGATTACGATCCGAAATAAAAGTAATATGGCGCTTCCCATCAACAAC